TTCAACAATAAAACTTTATTTTGTATTTTATTTTATTTCTTGACTTTTTATTTAATAAAACATGTCCTTTCTTTTTTATCAAAATCAAAATTTTATTTACAAAATTATTTCAAACTTTTTAATTCGATCATTTCCCGCATCAACAATATAAAAATTTCCTTCATCATCAAAAGATAAACCTGTTGGATGATTCAATTGATTTGATCTATTTCCTTCACCATTTCCACCAACAACAACTTCACCTTCTTCTTTTCCTTTACACCAACACATTATTCGATGATTATCACAATCAGCCACATAGACTTGACCCAAATCATCAACAATGAGTCCTTGAGGATTAGACAATTGATTGAGATTTTTTCCTTCACCATTTCCTCCAGCCACAATTATTCCTTCTTTTGCACCTTTTCTCCATTTCATCACACGATGATTTTCTTGATCTGATACATAAACAGATTGATCTTCATCAACAAAGATAAAACCTGGACAATTAAATTGATTGAGTAGATTTCCTTCTTCATTTCCGCCTGCTACTACAATTCCTTCGTTGTTGTATTCTCCCATTCTCCATCGTCTCACTTCATTATTACTGCAATCAGAAACATAAAGAAATCCATTTTTATCCATTGCCAAGCCAGAACAGCTAATATTCTTAATTAGAATTTGTTGATTTTGATTCAACCATTGAATCACTCGACTGTTCTCAAAATCAGCAATGATGATCGAATGATTTTGTTGATCAACAATCATATCTGTTGGATAATTCAATTGATTCATTCGATTTCCTCGTCCATTTCCACCTGCAATAATTTGTCCTTCTTTTGCATTATATTTCCATTCAACAATACGATGATTATAATAATCAGCAATAAGAATATTTTTCTTTTTATCGATAAAGATGCCTTCAGGGCCAATAACTTGATTTAATTTCTGTCCTCGTCCATTTCCACCAGCCACAGTGATGGCATTTTGTTTCCATCTGTTGAATTTTAGTTCTAGAAAATAATGAAAATAAAAGATTTTGATGAAAAGAAGAAGAAGAAAAGAGAAGATTAGTTTTCAATGAAATGTTGATAAACATGTGTAATGAAAAGATAAATTTTATTTTATTTCGGCTAATTTTATTTTCATTCTTTTTCTAATTAAAATCCATGTTAATGTCATATAGAAAATCTGAACAGATATAAAATCTCTTTAGACTTTTTCTTCAGATTTAAGATCATTTATAGAGACTTTTAGTTTATGAAATAATATATTTTTAATAAAAAATTCACTGATGAAATTTTCATTCGACATTTTGAACTCTTTAGATCAAAACAACAGTTTCTTCAAAAAATATTCATATCTTGAAAAGAATTTATATAAAACAAAGAAAATACTGTTTAGAGTTGATCATTTTAGAGTGTTTTACTATAATGAATGAATTAATGTATCACCTTCACACAGATTTTCAGATTCAAATATAATCATTCAATATGCTTTTGCTCTACACACTATATTAGAGGATAAAATATTTTTAACTGTGATGAAGAAAAGAGAATAAAAACATTTTCATTTTTCTAATTTTGTTACACACTACTATAAAATATATAAAGTTCTAGCAATATAACTTAGATAATTCAATTTAATTTTTTAATTGAATATTATTTTATATCTTATTATTCTTTTCTTTTACATAACACATAAATTTAACTTTCTATGTCCATCAATTCTATTATTATTGGTTAAATAAATCACTAGTATTCTCAATTATTTTTTGAAAACTTACTTTTTGGTAAAATAATTGAAATATCATTAATAAATGATTGTGAACCTTGTTGAATGGAAATATTTGATGGATTATTTAATTCTCTTGCCATTTCTCCTAATTGATTTCTTAAATAATTTAAATTAATTTCATTAAAGTCATTTTCTTTTTGAAGTCGTTGTAGTTGTTCACTTAATTCATTAAATTTTATTCCAATATCATTCAAAAATGTTTGTGATGATTTAATGACAATTTCTCTATAATCTTGTGCTTTTTGTTGAATTTTTGCAATTGAATTTCTTTCCCATTGATCAATTTGATTTACTAAAGAAAGATCATGTGGACTTTGTTTTTGTTCATTAATTGTTTGTTTAAATTTATTATAATCATCAATAATATGATTTAATTCTTCATTTAATTTTTGGTGATGTTCTGGTATATGTATTGAACAAAATCGTTTTGAACATCCTTCACAAGTATATGTATTATTTTCTCTGCTGCATGTAAAACATCGTTTTCTATTGTTTGCCGTTGTCATATCTTTAAATAGAAATTTATAAAAGAAGTGAATATATCTTTATCTATTTTTCTAGATGTAAACTTGATAAGTCAATGACAATAAAAACATTGTTCAATCGTAAAAGATGATGTGTTTTTAATTTTAAATAGAAATCCAAACAATTTTATAGATATTTATACAATGAAAGAATGTTTTAATGTAGATTCAGATGTAAGCAAAGATAAAGCATAGAGTTGCACTCATAACTTTATTCTTCTGATGGATGATTTATCAATCTTACTTTTATCATTATCATTACCCTCATTCTCAAGATAGTCATTGTTTGATATTATTTCAAAAAACAAACTTACTTAAATGAAACTATTCAAAGGAATTGTATTTCTGAACTTCAGATGTTTTGTAATTATTTTAATATGAATAAGAATACTGTCTATAACAGCACTTGTAAGTGAATAAATAAAATATTCGTCCGCTACATCAACCACATGTATGATCGTTTCGGTTTTTTTTTCTGTTCTGTTGATTTCTATCGAAATGTGTTATTTCTAAGTTATAAACAAAGGAAATATCACAGCTATTCTCTTAGAATATATTGTATTACGAAGATAGAAATAGTTCAAGAAATATAACCACTTTTCATCGTATAGATAATTGCGCTTTCCTCGAATCAATGAGCTGTTGCTATACTTCTTCTAACAATTTTTCAAAAGAATAAAATTTGATGTTTCAAATGTTTTTTTCAACTATTTATTTGATTTGAAAAAGATATGTGATAAAATATTTCAAGTGAAGTAAAGAAGAAGAAAAATAATAAAAAAATACAGTTTGCTTTTGATTAAATGAATTTTTAGTGCTACTTAATGAGACAATATTGAAGAATGAAAAATAATTAAAACGGAGATAAATAATGTTTTCAATAGTTTGATTTTCGTAATTTATGGAACTAAAAATCTTAAATAAATTTTTCAGCAAAAGAAAATTTATCAAAAATAAAATATTGACAGACATAATGACTTAATTGATAAAGAAAAACTATATCGAAATAAATAAATAAGATATGGTCAGATGTACGGATAAAAGAAAGTAAATCTTTTCTCTTAAAAAATTCACTTTAAAAAGCTCTAGAAAAATGATAATACCAAGTATCATCTGTGGTAATTGAAATTAGTGATTTTTTTCATTATTAAAAAAAATAATTTTTACATTATAACAACGTTTATCATCATATCAAACATGTTTGAAAAATGATTTATTATTTAAAATGAATTTTTTCCATAGAAATTCTGTAAAACTTTTAATGTAACACTCTTTTGAAAAATAAATTTTAACAATGATCATATACATATATACATGTCGTAGGCCAAACTAGGACTCAGGCCAATCCGAGATTGGCCTAGGTCATTCTAAGATCTCAGTTTCGACTAGTTCAAACTAGGATCAAGTCAAGACCTCAGATCAAAACTCAGTTTTGGCCCTGAAGATAATTTCAGATTTCGGTTTGCCTGTTCGAAAACTATAGTCAAATGGGTATACTTCATACACAAACCATTTCATTCTGAGCAAGATTATCTATTTAAAAAGTTATAAGCATTTTCATCCATGAATCCAGGTTTTTCAGAAAACTATTAATAACTTTGTTAGCAGCCAGTTTGGCTCAAAATGCAATGATTTGTGTATGAAGTATACCCATTTGGCTATAGTTTTCGAATAAGAAAACCGAAATCTGAAATTATCGTCAGGATCAAAAGTGAGTTTTGATATCAGATTCCGACTTAATTCTGGTTTGTACCAGGCCAAACTGAGATCTTAAAATAGCCTAGGTCAATCTAGGATTGGCCTGAATCCAGCAATGGCCTACGACATACATTTTGAAATATATGCAAAATAAAATATTTACAAATATTTTAAAACATTCTGGATATTTTTTCAATTAATCATTAGAACTATTTTTATATTTAAAAAATCAATTTTGTTGAATTAAATTTCTTCTTCAAATAAATGAAGAAGAAAACGTTTTTTTATCTTCAATATTTTGAAATTATTCATTTAATCTGTTGTATGTTGATTATTTTTAATAATGAACAAAATTAAATATTAAATTAATCTTTTGTATTTTGAAATTTGTGTTTAAGAATTTTGTTGAAATTTAATTGAAAATAATTTTCAATTTATTTTTATTTTTAAAAAATCAATAAATGTTTAATTAATATTTTATATAAGGATTGGTTTTATTGATATTTTATAATATAGAATGGGTGTAGGTGTGGGTATTTCGTGCTGACACTAGCACACACCCTCAGCCACAGCCACACCCACACCATTCCATGCAGACTCCGGATCGTGTTTCGATACTCCAAACCCTATTTAAACATTTTCGACCCAATTCCATCACTTCAAAAGCCTTAAAACATTTGTTGCGGATCCGGAGTCTATTGATTCCTTGTTGTAAAAAAGGTAGACCCTGCGGACTATTATGTAGACGGAATGAAAAAAATAATATTAAGATAAGAAGAGTGAGAGTCTGAGAAAAGTTAGACGTGGAGCACCGTTTTGCACTATCATGCTCACATGTAAAATTTATTATATTAAGATAAGAATATAACAACACCTTTGATGTGGAAAATAATATCACGTATCTTCTGTTACTTATGTGAGAGTAATAGGCAAACAACAAATAGCTTCGAACAATAGTGTGTTCTTTTTTCTTCGTTTAAGTTACATCTGGAACATAATATGCACACCAACCAAGTTTACAGTGAGCTTGTTACTGTTAATAATGGACCACACAAATGGTGGCACCGTCGTTGGGTGAAAATAATCGGCATTTTCATTATTCTTTTAATAGTTTTTGCTGTTATCCTTGCTTTGGTGTTAAACTTCGTCGTTTTTGCACCGAAGAAATCAGAAACTAATACCACTGTCACAGCATTATCATCACCAATCACAACAACAATATCAACACCACCATCATTATCAACAACATCATCACCACCACCAACAATAATATCAACACCACCATCATTATCAACAACAACACCAGTAGTGGCACCGACCACAAATGTACTAGAAACAACAACACCAGTAGTGGCACCGACCACAAATGTACTAGAAACAACAACACCAGTAGTGGCACCGACCACAACTTTACCACAAACAACAGCTACAACCACAACTCAGCAGTTAGGTAAGTTTTAGGGTAACGTTTTCCAGTTTCCTTAAATGGTACTTTTAAATCAAATATAAGTATTTGCTTTGCATCCAACTGTTTTCTATATCGAACTAAAAGTTACACTAAAAGAACAGTGATCTTGTCATGAGTAATTCAATCGTTAACTAAAGAAGAAGCGGAGATGCAATAATTCCTGCATTCGCTATTTTTCATCACGACCAAAGCCCACGTGATTTTGTTGACATCGATGCAACGAAATCTACTTTTTCTCTTTGTTTGATATCACTACATACCCTACTTTTAAGTATAAAGAGAACACAAAAAAAATCATTTTGCACCAATGGAGCGTATGAATATCTGTCGCGCTCGAAAATACCAGTGAATTCTCCTTCTCTCTCCTTCGTGTGTAAATATAAATAGCTATATATAATGAAAAGCGCATTAATTCTTATAAACATTGTATACAACAGGCATAAAATACAAATCTGTTTCATATGTCATCCACACTTCTGATTCTTTACCAAAAATGCGAAACCTATTTTCGTACCGTATCAAGAACAATTTTTTATAACAAAGTTGAGGTCTTTTGCATTTCGCGAAAGGTTCGAAAAACTTTGTATAAAAAGTAAGAAACGATTTTCATTTTACAAAATCTAAAACTTTCCGCACATGATTACATCGTTTTGACAGTTCCACAAGATACAGTCTTTTGAGAATGAATACAATCAAATGTTTCTGTTTAGAATGGTCTGTTACTGGTAATATGAATAATGCACGAAATTGGCACACATCATCTGTATTACCAAATGGGAAAGTATTAGTTACTGGTGGAGAAATTGGTGAATGGAATGGTAATGTTTCAAATAGTGCTGAGCTGTTTGATTTATCAACAGGTATTTGGACAACTACTGGTAACATGACTAATGCACGAGAATGGCACACAGCATCTGTATTATTAAATGGAAAAATATTAGTTACTGGCGGATATGGTAATGGTTATTTAAATAGTGCTGAGCTGTATGATTTATCAACAGGTACTTGGACAACTACTGGTAACATGACTAATGCACGACAATGGCACACAGCATCTGTATTATCAAATGGAAAAGTATTAGTTACCGGTGGATACAATGGTGATTATTTAAATACTGCTTAGCTGTATGATCCATCATCAAGTACTTGGACTACTACTAGTAACATGAATAATGAACGAGTTGGTCATACTGCATCTGTATTACTAAATGAAAAAGTATTAGTTATTGCTGGATCGATTGAGGGTCGTACTTATAATAGTGCTAAATTGTATGATCCATCAACAGATACTTGGACAACTGTTAATAATATAACTAGTCCTCGAGAACGTCACTCAGCATCTGTATTATCAAATGGAAAAGTATTAGCTACTGGTGGATGGAATGATAATATTGGTACTTTAAATAATGCTGAGCTGTATGATCCATCAACAGGTACTTGGACAACTACTGGTAACATGAGTAACACACGAGATCTACATACAGCATCCGTATTATCAAATGGAAAAATATTAGTTACCGGTGGTCTAGGCGATGGTTCTCTCAATAATGCTGAGCTGTATGATCCATCAACAGGCACATGGACTACCACTAGTGATATGATTGATGGGCGATATATTCACACAGCATCTGTATTATCAAATGGAAAAGTATTAGTTACTGGTGGACGCAATGATACTGTTAGTTATTTAAATAGTGCAGAATTATATTCATTATTTGAAACCAGTTAACTTTCAGTTGCCTTACTCTTTTTCTTACAAGTAATTCAAATTCCAAACAATATTTTAGCTAGAAGTACTGTCAGCTTGTGATGTTCGCGAACTATTTTCTTCCATATTTTTACTGAATTATTACATACCTTAATATTCGATTCCAAGTAAAAAAGAATATTTTTGTTTTTCTACTGTTGCAGATTAATTTATCAGAATTAACAAGAGTTACAACTGATACAATAATTTTAATTATTCTTTTAAATGCTCTGTTAGTTTTATAGTGTAATTTTTCATATTATTTAATTATTTTCATAGTGTCCATCGGATTTAAAATATATTATTATTGAAATATTTTAGTTACTAGAAACTTCGAAGTAAGTTCATGGATGGTATAGATGAATATATCTGTAAATAACAACAACAGATAATCTAAAACAAAATCAATAATCATATCAGATATACGAACTAAAAAGGATGAAAATGTTGATGAAGTTAACAAAATACTTACATTCAACTTACCTAATTTTTATATGAATATATATTTTAATGAAGGAGAATCAACAATAAGACAATTTCTATTTGATATTTCTTCGTGATTAATAATTATCTCATTGTTAGTCTTAAATTTATTAATTCAAACCACTCTAAAAAATGAAATTGATTAGTGCAGAATATCTACAGAGAAGTGTCGTTGAAATATGAAGACAAAACTGTACACAGATCTACTTTTTCTTCCTCATTTGAATTTATTTCACAGAGTATGCGACCATTGAAGTTTGTCCTTAACCCTTTGGTTACGAGTTTTTTTTTAATTAAGATGGTGTTTTGTTTTTCGTTCCAAAACAGTCTGGAATAAATTTTATTAGCATATAATAGTATTCGGAAATGATTAAGAATATAATAGTCTTCAATACAACCTATCACACTAATAGTATGTATCGGTACGCTTTTTCTCACATCTGCTTGTATGACTACAAACTACACAAGATCTTTGTGCAATATTTTCTGTTGAATTTCATGAAAATCAGGACGGGTATGGGTCTGGTTGAGGTTAAGAGAAGGGATACTCACACCCACACCAACTCTCGAACTTATGAACTTGAACTGTCAGCAGCCTAACTAATATATATCATTAAATAAAGATAAATTATAAAACAGTATAATTAATATCTATTTCGTATTTTTTTTCGACCTTGATGAACATGTCAAAAAACGTATAGTTCTAGTCTTGGAAATAAAGAACTAATAGAAGGATATTAACTTCACTACTAAGTCTCTAAGAACAACAATAACAAGTTCATCGACATCATTCACTATATTTCAAAATTCAGTACTTATTTAATATTCAATTTGATTGCTGAATCGATCATCACATAACTGCCGAAGACACACATCTTTTTTTCCTTACTTTCTATAATGATTAATTTATTCGAGACATATAAATATATGAATACAATAAGAACAATAGATTAAATGATCTAATCGATAATTTATCTATCACAAGAATAATTAGTGAACAAAGATGTCTCTCATAGTTACAAGGAAAACTCTGTTTGTCTTCTATTGGTTTTTTTTCCAATTTTTGTTGGTTTCCTAGGAATAAAAAAACCGTCCGCCATTCATCACACTTCTTTTTTCTTTCAAACTACTTGGAGTAAAATTTAATTCTAGTAATGGCAAGTACTTTACCACCTTATATAAAATACTTGTCGGCTTTTGTATTGATCTTTGGTATACTTTATAAATATGAAATTCCTACAACTGATAATAAAACATTTTTATTAACAAAAAAATCTACATTGCAATATAATAAATCACATGTCTATCAGATAATAACAAATATCGATCGTTATGCATTGGTTTGTTATTCAAAAAATAACTTTAAAACTTTTTTTTCTTATTTATGAATCTTTCATGTAGTGGTATCCGAATGTAGTTCGTGTTGAACAGAGCAAACCAATATCATCCGGATCTAAAAAACAGGTCGATGGCAAATATCAATTAATTACTAAAATACCATTGATTGGTTTGTGTTTAATTTAAATTAAGAGAAATTTTTTTAACACATTCATAAATAGGTGATATATCATCGGAATTAACTATTCATACAAAGGATCGACCAAAACGATTTGTTTATTCAGTTGATTCATGGTTACTTGAAGTAAATTCAATTGAATTAAAAGATAATTCAAATAATATCAATTCAACTGATATTCAATGGACCGTATATACAAAACGACGTAGTATGCTTTTTCAGGTAAATAAAAATATTAATATGTTCATTTTATTTAATTGATATTCTTTTTCTTTTAGTATTTAATTTTACCATTTGCTAAATTTTATAAAAATCAACTTGTTCGTGAAGCACTCTTTACACTTATGCTACAAATTCGTAATCTTTAATTGTGATAATGATAAACACTGATTAATTTTTGCTTTTGTTTTGTGATATAACATAACGTCAAATACCATAAACTAATAAATAAATTTATACTAGCTTGATATTAAAATTTTAACTAAAGAAAATACTTCATAGCATGATGACACTAGCAGTTTTTTTTTCATAATTTACCGAAGAAAAACAAACACATCTTCAATAATCAATATTGATTTAAGATTGAAAATATATCTGCTAAAACACATAATATGTAACTTGAATGGTTGGAATGTGTGAATTACGTTATCTACTTTTACTTTAATTTACTAAAAATTAAAAAGATGACCATGGTGGGTCTCGATCCCACGACTTTCGCGTTACTCAATGCTGTTATCTACTGATTTACACGGGCAATGAAAGAATTTTAAAACGTTCAAAAAGATTTAATTGATGTATCGCTTTGAGTGACATATGACACACCCTGATCAATAGGCCACAAGTGTTCATAGCAGGAGACTTATGTTTTTAATGATCATCAATTTGTATAAGATGCTCGAGGGCAGATTAAATGTCAATCAATACTATGTATGTCGAAAAGTCAACGCCCTCTATCACGTGAAACATTCATGTAATTCATCATAAATAAGAGTTATTTAAAAGTATATTATGTTCTATAAATTTTTATTTTAATAATCACAACACAAATAAACACTACATAAATATTTTCACTGTCTAATACTGTTATTCTAAACCACAACTTCATAAACAGTTTTTTTATTCAATTGATCAAATTTTAATGGTGTTGAATAGATATTTTCAGTATTATTATCTTCTTTAGTTTTTATTGCATAAAATGGAAAACCATAATTTATATTTTCACTTTGAGAAGTATGTAAATGATGATCAGATTGATTAAAATCTGTTACTGTTAAGTGTTCACTATTTGATAATGAAGTTATTATCGGATCATTTGAATCATTGCATAGATTTCCTTCAAAAAAGAAGATTTATTATTTGTAAACTAAAAATATTTCAAGAAAAGAGATATACCTTGAAGTTGATCAAGTTTTAAATAAGATGATGGTTTCGGTTGTTGTTCAGGATATGTTACATTTGAAAAGAATTTTGTTGAGTTATTATTTGGAATTGATTCAATAATAATTGGACTTTGAGAAGATTTTTTACTAACTATACTAACTAAATATAAATAAATGCATGAAAATATTTGAATGAAATATCTAATCTAACACAAATAAATGAATCACATTTCTCGGGTTAAACAACTAGTTAGAAATTCTCAAAAAAGGTCAATATATATAGGATTCTAACCTAGGGTATGAGTTGCATTTCGTCGTTGTTTACGATTAAATATGAAACAAAATATACAAAGTCCACATAGAATAAGTAGAGAAACAACGATGATTGATGATACTAATATAAATATCCAATTGAAAGATGTTTCACGTTCTAAAATATATATATATATTATTTGAAATGAAGAAAAACAAAATATTTTGCTCAATTACTTATATCAACTGAAATACTATCTCCACAAAAATGTTCATATTGATTAAGACATATTGATACATAAAGTATATTATTTAAATCAATTTCATCTAATTTTATAAGTCCACTTGATGTTACAATACGTTGACATATATATGTTTGATTTGTGATTTCAATTCGAATGCATAATGGAATTTTAATTGTTGAAAAACTTGTATCATTTAAACCATAATGTAGAGTTTTTTCAAATAAATATATTGATGAATGTTCAAGAATTGATAAATCTAATAATATAAAAAAGATTTTAATACAAGAATAATCATACATATTTAATTAACCTTCTCTTTTTATTGGTAGATCTTTTGTTTGAACACGAAGAAACGCATTCGTTGAACTTTGTCCTAATTTATTATACGCGCGAACAGTTATGTTGTAATATTCCAAATGTTGAAGATCTAAATCATAATAGAAAACTTAAAAAAGTATACTTCAAGTATCAATGTGTTATTATGAATTAATGAGATTTTATTCAATTATAAAAATATCGCATTTGTCGATATTCATGAAGTTTTACAACTATAGAACTTACTCGTTAATGTAAAATATGTTTGATTAGTTTCTTTCCATAGAGAATTATCAAGTGAAATCCAAAATGATTGTGGCCATCCACCATTATATCCAGCTTTCCATTCTAAACTAATTGTTGAATAACTAATACTTGTTATATTTAAATCCGTAGGAGAATCAGGTACATCTAAATATAAAAATAACATATTGGTTTAATATTTCCCAGAAATAAAGAGCAGCTGTCATAGAAATGATTGATTGATAAGCTATTAATACAGGAAAAATCTCCCTTCTGTGAACAGTTGGAAGTATATGTCTATATGATATGATAATGATCGATAAAAGAGCAAACACAGTATGAAATACGATTCGAACTTAAGATTAAAGTGTATGTCAATATACCTTTTGATCTCAGTTGGATAGTTGTAGAATTATATCCTAATTTATTGTTTGCATTACATGAATAAATTCCATAATCTGTATTTGATTGAATTTGTTGAAGAATTAAATATGATAAAGATTGATTTTGTATCATGAAATATTTTGTTGAATTTAATAAAAATTTATTTTGAAATTTCCAACGTATTTCCGATTTTGGATATGAATCAATTTCACATTGAAATTTTATATTTGTTTCACGAATATCAGCAGCTATTATTGAATCTATTGTATAAACTTTTGGAGCATCTAAAAACAAAAAAAATCGTCTATATATTTATCAAGAAACACTATGTCCTACATTGTACAATAATTTCTGTTTGTGATTTATTAAATTTTTCAATTGAACTTCCATTTGAATATTTCAGCGTATTTTTTACCATACATACATAATTTCCTGAATCATATTTTGATACTTTTTCAATAATTATCGATGATGTTAATGAACTTGTATTTAATTTTTCATTATTCTTATACCATTGATAATAATCAATCATTGGATAAGATTTAACATTGCATATTAATATTAATTTTTCACTTTCATTTATTATTCCACCACCGTTAATTTCAACAATAGGTGAATCTATTTAATACAAGAAATAGTTTTTTTTTAATTTCAAAATGAATTTTTTACATTGAACACGTATATATACTGATGAATGACTTTGACCAATTGAGTTTGTTGATGAACATGTATATTCTCCATCATCAGTACGTTTTATAGATTGTAATGTCAATGAAGAAGAAGTATTACCTTCAAAAACAAAACACGAATAGCAGAAAATTTAGAAAAATAATAAACAAACTTGAAATTAATACACCGTTTTTTAACCAAACTAATGGTTTTGTGGGCGATGGATTTGAATCAATTGCACAATCGATTGTAAATTGTTCATTTTCAGTAAAAATTAAATTAAGATTTGAAATATTTTTACCATTAGCACGTAAACGAACTTCTGGTTTATCTAATTTAAACAAAAACAAAATATTTTTAAAATAAATAAAATTTTTTTTTAATTACGTAAGATATTTAATGCAAAGGAAGTTATCAATGGTTTATCTAAAGCTTGATTTTGTACTTGACAAGTTAATGAACTATTATGTAAATGTTTTTCCAATGGTAAATATAATTCACTATATGATTTCGATGTATTTAAATAATTTTTATACAATGATCTAATTAAAAAAAAAGATACATTACGAAGAAACAAAAATCTTTCATTATTACTCATTGATTTTAATTTCATTAATTAACCAATTAAATGTTGGTAATGGATTTCCACCTTGTGTTATACAAAGAAATCTTCCTAGATGATTCTCAATTAAACTTGCATTTAATTGTTGAAGATCTGGTTGTGTTGGTTTAGCTATAAAATAAAATGTTATACTAACAATAGTTTATATTATAGATTAGAAGATATGTATAACCTTGTTAGACATAATTAGAAACAATTAACAAACAGTCAGATATCAATTTTCTGCTCTATCAATTTCAAGGTACAACTATCCAGCTGTTTAAATGTCATATACATACTTAAAACAGTCAATAGAACATTGATTGATAAAGCTTGATCAAAATTTTGACATAAATATCGTCCACTATCTTGATCAACTACTGTTTTTATAATTAAATCATATTTATCAGTTATTTCATATTTTTTTCGTTCACCAGATATATCTTTATTGACAGATATAACAGTATCACCTTTTAACCTATTTATTAATTTAATTAGAAGAAACAAAAAAATATATATTTCATCTTCTTACCACATAACACGATCACGTTCATTTAATTGTTGAAATCGACATGAAAGTACGACATCATGACCTTGTTTTTCAGTAATTGTTCTTGAATCAACTATTTTTGATGCTTCAATTAATTGAGTAATCAATAAAAAGACTAAATTAAATTTTATAATAGATATATTCAATAATATATTTGTAAGAAACTTACCAATGATTGTTATTTGATACATTTGTAAAAATGAAATGAACACGTTAATCTGTCTCAAAGTGTAGAGGTGAAATTATATTATGTTACGTCAAGTTAAAGTTCAACATAAGAATTTTTATGTATTCGCTTTTTTTTCTCGATCCGAATAGAAATGAATTTGTAAATAAACTAGATGACGAATAAAAAAGGATCAGCTCGATTGAAAAGGATAGAAATAATTATGATTTCTTTGCTTCTATATCAATGATGAGTAAATATACATTTGGATGGTGAAAGAAATGAATGAACAACTACATCCTCTTCTTTTTCTTCCTACTCTTGTGTGTCTCTCTCTCTAGAGAGAGCGACAGAGGAGAAGAAGAATAAAGAAAACAGACAAATCTATTACGTTATGTACAGAACTCTTTAATAACATTTTTACATTTAAAGTCATTTTGCCAAGATGGTTTAATAATTGTCTCTTGAGCTTTAAATCTTGAACAGATGATTTGCGCATAATTGTTAAGAACAATCCTATCTTAATTTGCTCAAAAATGTTCATTGGATTGATCTCCTAAGGCAATGTTTGATTTGATTTCGAGAAAGAAGTGTTAGAATTATTAACCTTTAAATTTACTCTTTTCTTTCTACATATTTCTATTCATTTATTTGACATATATATCTTCATCAGAAACTTTTCATATTTATTTTACACCTTAATATAAAAAAACCAAGAAGTTTATTACATATAGGAGTGATTAAGTCACCTATGTACATCACAGTATGTGGCTTCATTATTTTTTCTATAACAAAAAAAAAAAAAAATGAAGGAAAGCCATTCTTAGTCTATATAACTTTTAATCATAGTCTGTACAATTGTTTCAACTCTTTTTTTCTTCTATTATCATCATCATATCCGGATTCGTCTTTTCTTTTTATACTTATGTTGACGCCGGCACATATAAAGTGATTGAGATGATGTCACTTCATAATAAAATCTATTACTTCTATGTATCTTATTAAAGTAAAGACGAAGAAGAAGAAGAAGAAGATTACAATGAGTAAATGATGGATGTTTATTTATGTTTATCAAGAGTATTGAGATGATATTACGTCAATTTTCTTTTTTTTTATTTGTTTATTTTTTCATCATGATCTTGATATATAAATTGATGTGAAGGACAGCACTGTGTATCATTCAGAAGAATAGCTTTGTTATAATAGATGAATATCAATTAGATATATTGTATACGATATATATGTATAATGTGATTTTATCAGTCTCTTTTCTACATTAATATTCAATACTAGAGATTTGTTTAACATGAATGTATACTATCAAATAGTTGTTTCTTTTCTTCTTTTTTTATTTGATTAGTAATAAGATTATGTTTGATGTAATATTATATATTATGATAGATGTCAAAGTTCAATGTTTACTCCACTGAGACTTTGTAATAATAGGAGATCTGCATAAAATCAAATCGAATGATAGTGATCATCAACTGCAAAAATAATTGAACATGCAATGTCTAGTGCTCATTTATCAAAGAATATGTTTATACCCAGTCAATATTTCGATACTCGATTTTGAATCGAGAGTATTTAGTTTATCTTTTACTAATAAACTATTTACACATATATGTATATATATACTATGGTTGAAACTATAAAAAACGTATGAATCATGCATAAACAGATTATTTGAAAGACAAATGAGTTAAAAATAAGAATTGTCATTAAATAACATTTTATGTAGTTTGTTGAAGATTTAATTGTTGTTTAAATTGATGAACAAGACGAGCTAAATGATCATTACGTTCACGTAAATATCGAATAAGATCTCCTTGTTTTTCAAGAACATTTTCTGTATATGTTTCATCACTAGAGAAAAAAACGTTTTTTTTCTTACTATAAATAATTAAATTACGAAAAACATACCGATAACCAATTTCATTAGCTGATGTTTGTGATGTAACAAAAGTTGAAAGTATATCATCTTGTCTTGCATCTGGATATGCACGTTCTTTATTAAATTTAATAGTAATAACTTAGAAAAAAAAAAGAAAAACATATCAATTATGAAATACAATATAAAAAATTCTTACCAAGATACCATAGAAGTACAATTAAGGTAATTAGTACTTCAATAGTCGAAAGAATTGCAAGACAATGCCATGGTTGAAATGGTAATATCGATGTTTGATAATCTTCAAGTAATTTAATCATAGCAACAAGAATTGCATTACCTGTTGAGATAATAATTAAAGGTGTACGTCTTAAATTCCTTGTTCGACGATAAAATTCAAGATAACCATTACGTCGAGATAAATCTTGATGATAGTGATATAAACTAAATAAAAACAATTATAATTAATACTTCAGCTTAAAAATATTTTATCTTTATATCATACCGATCAAATGCAACAGTGACAATATAAGCACCAGCATGTATATATAATGAAATATTGTATGGTGAATGATAACGACATATTTCCGTTTCTATTTTTCTATCGTAACATAAAAATGGAAATAGTACAATGACCGTTTCAAATGCAATCTAATAAAAAAATTTCTTATAAATTTAAATTTAAATTTGTTCCAGTTACCACAAATAAAATATGAATTATAATAAAAGCAGTTGTTCGTATTCGTCGATATTGTTGTTCTGTAGTTGCAATAAGAGGAATATCCTCTTGTATAACATCTTCATTTATATTGATCAATCGATCATCAAATGACATTCCCTTGATAGAGAAATGTTTAGAGACGAAGAAGAAAAAAAAAATTAATTTAACATACTCCTCCGCTTCGTCCATGTTGTGTATTTAAACTAACCATCTAAAAAAGAGAGACAAAAGAAAACAAAACAAGTACTCTAGTATAAGAAGGAATATTATATAGTCTAAAGAAAATTATCACCAGCCTGAACCCCAAGAATCATCTGTTTTCTTTTCCATTTCTTTTAAAGGTGGATCATTATATGGATGTTGTTCAACATATTCAGCAACCGTTCCGTTCCATTTTAATAAACCCTCTAACCATGTTTTTAATTCACCATCTGTATTTAAAACATTATCTTCATATACTTTTAGATTATGATTATCATCATATAATTCAAATAATTTCCATGAACGTGGATGTATAGCTGTATACTGTGGATTATCACGTACTTTTAATTTATTATCATCAATTAATAATGTATGATCACGTAAATCAGTATTTTTTGGTTGATTCATTAACCATCGTTCATTTATATCGACTGTTTCCCAAACAGATGATAAACGTTTATAAAATGACCTAGCTTTTTTTGGATCTGTTGCTGTTGGATCATCTTCAACATGACAATTTTGTTGATCCCACCAAAATAATAAACGATCACGTTCATGTTCATCAGGTAATATATATTTAACAATAGGATCAATATTAAATTTTAAAACTGATGACCATATAGCAACATGAAAATGTTCCATTAACCAATCAAGAAATTCTTTTACATTAGGACGAAACCATACTGCAAAATTTCCTATACGTTCAGGACGAGTTAAATAATTACTCTCATATTGTTCAGTTAATAAACGTTTGCATTTCACATATTCATCTTTATAAAGACGATGAACAAGAAGACCATTAAGATCAAGTATTATTAATCGTTTTAGTTGAGACATATTTAAATAAAGTAAATTGATGAAACTTTTTCGGTAATGAGTGAATCATTGAGAATATTTGTATTGGTAACAATTATTAATCAATCCTATAATTGTAGATGTCAGTTTAACATAAATTGTTAGAGATGATATTATTAATAAAAATACATATGATCGAATGTTAAGTATATTTTTTTATTTACGTATATATTTTCATATAAATTATATGTTATACTTAAATTTGATCAGTTGTTTATGTGACTAATGATTAAAATTTATGTTATCATCATTACTTCTGTTCTTTTTTTTCACTTTCGAGATCTTTGAACTTAAGGTGATAAAATGGAAGATTCAACAGCAATTAATAATGAACACGAACAATTAGTTAATCGACAAGCAGATCATACTGGTATACTGAATCCACGTGGACCATATTTAAAATGGATAGCTGTATTTTTTATGTGCTTCTTATCATTTGGTATGAAATAATTGGCATTTTTCATAAACAAACCCCTATTTTATATTTTATTTTAGGATCATATTATTGTTATGATAATCCGGCTGGTTTACAAGATGTAATGAAAGATGATTTAAAAATTTCTTCAACAACTTTTACATCATTTTATTCTTGGTACTCATGGCCTAACGTTGTGTAAATTAAAATAATAATTATTATATTAAGTTTTTATTTTTTTATTTCGAAATTCGTAGACTTGCTGCTGTCGGTGGTATACTAATTGATAAGTGGCTAGGAGTAGCTCGTGGAGCAACAGTATTTTGTGCATTTATTCTTGTTGGACAAGTTATTTTTGGTCTTGGTGGTTATTGGCGTTTAATATGGCTGATGAATGTTGGTCGATTTATATTTGGTATTGGTGGTGAATCACTTTCAAGTGCACAAAATGCATATGCTGTTTCATGGTTTTTTGGAAAACAATTAAATTTTGTATTTGGTCTACAACTTTCATTTGCTCGTGTGGTTTGTATTCTGTTAATTTCTTAAAAAACAAAAAAAATGAATTAAATTCATTTGCTATTTTTTTTCTAAAGGGAAGTTTAGTAAATATGAATACAATTCATCGTATTTATGATTCACTTGGTTCAGATCTAACTGGTCCACATCGTATTGGTACAACACTTTTAATTGCCGTATCAACATGTTTTATTTCGCTAGCATGTGCACTTATTCTTTGGTCATTAGATAATCGACGAAAAAAAGTTGTTCAAGAAGATAATCCACCAGATCCAAGTTTGAATATTAAAATTCTTATTTATTATATTTTTTTGCTTTTTTTTTCTAGATGATGAATTTCATATTAAAGGTATGTTTATTGAAAATAATTACATATATATATATTATTTCGTTTATTTTTTAGATATTCGACATTTTTCTGCTTCACTTTACTGTGTATTTATTATTTGTGTATTTTATTATGTTGCTATATTTCCATTTATTGCTGCAGCACAATTACTTTTTGAATCGAAATATAATTTATCACCTGCTTGGTCAAATGCATGTAATAGTTTAGTTTATTTGATGTATGTTTAAAATAAAAATAAGATATTATAAAAAAAAATTTTTTATTTTGTTTTAAGGTCAGCTATTCTTTCACCATTCCTTGGTTATGTTGTTGATTTAACTGGTAGAAATCTTTTTTGGTTAATGGGTAGTATAACAACAACAATAATTGCACATGCACTTCTTGCATTTCTATTTGTTCATCCTGTTGTACCTCTTGTTTTAATGGGCATATCTTATTCAATATTAGCAGCATCACTTTGGCCAATGGTTGCTTTTCTTGTTCCCAAAAAAATGTTAGGTACAGCATATGGTTTTATGCAATCGATTCAAAATCTAGGTCTTGCTGTCATGTAAGCATTTCTTATGATTTTTAATACAGAAAATATTATTGTTTTCTTTTAGGAATATATTTACTGGTTTAATTCTTGATAGTTATGGTTATTTTATGCTTGAAATCTTCTTTATCATTTGTCTTGAAGTTGCTTTATTAGCAGCTGCATTTCTTTATGTTTATAATTCAGTTAAAAAAGGTATGCTCAATGATTCACCAACCGTTCGACGTGCTAAACAAGCTGAAGTTGAGGGTAAAACCGATACTACAATAAACAATGTTGTTGATTCACCATTATCACCTGATGGAGGCTATGACAACTATTCTAATGCTTAACAAATTCTTTTTCTTATTATCTATTGAAACTGTCTTTCGAAAACATAAATTATTCTTTTTTTTTTCTTTATTTTTTGTGATTTATATTAAACATGTGATTATACATATAAAAAAAAACATAGATAGAACAAAATTTTGAATGATTATTCATGTCCTTTTTACAAACGAAGTTTTAGATTACATAACAATAAAATATGTTTTCTCTATTACGATCAAGAATATTTTGTCAGAATTGTTGGTCTATTCCGCGTTCAATAAAACTTTTTGAACAACAAACAATAAAAATAAATCATCGAACATTGACATTTTCTGCTTTACATTTTCAACAACCACCGCCACCATCACCACCTTCAAATGAATCATCAAAATTATCTTCACTTATGAATGAAACTGATAGTAAAACTCCATTCATATTTTCTGAAACATCATCAAAACCAAAATATACAAAAGAACAAACGGATGATGAAAAACGTGAACGTGATGCTAAAGCAGCATGGGATATGAAAATGTTAAGATTTACAGGATATTTTCTTGGTATATGGTTAGTATCTACAGTTGGTTATGTTATACTTGTTTGGGGTTCACCACAAATTGATCAAGAAGGAAATGTTGTAAATGATCAATATTCACATTTATCAACATGGCAACAATATATAAGACGATCATTTCGAGGAATTATCGATTATTGGCAAACGATTAAAGATCCAACAAGTGATAAACTTTTACCTGAACCATTACCAGCACCATATCAACCAACATATACATTAGTTATTGAAATGTCAGGTGTATTATTACATCCTGAATGGGCTTATAATACAGGATGGAGATATAAGAAAAGACCAGGATTAGATTATTTTATAAAAGAAATTGGTTATCCAGTTTATGAAGTTGTTATTTATACAAAAGAAACACCATGGGTATGAAAAAATTACAATACTCAGTTTATTTAGAATTTTGAAACAGAATAAAAAAAAAGTGTATGATATTCTAGAGATTTTATATTAATTACTATCTTACTGAAGTAGTTGTACAAATTGCAAAGTATTTAAGAGTAATAAAGTATATTTTAAGGTAAATTTCAAGGCAAAATAATATTTGTATGTAAGATAAGATAAGTTGATTTCATTTTGTCCTCTGTTTGGTTATCAAGACTTAGATAAACGAATCATAGACACACGATATTTTTATATACTAATATATAGATCAATTCATTATTATTCTTTTTTTCAGGGCGCAGCATCAGTTATTGAAAATATGGATAGTGAACATCGTATAATGTATCGTTTGTTTCGTGAAAATACACGTTTTATTAATGGAACTCATGTTAAAGTATTGATATAAATGTTTAGTATTATATTTAAATGTAAAAATATTTCTTTTAGGATTTAGCATGTCTTAATCGTGATTTGAAAAAAATTATTTTCTTAGATTGGGATGAAAATACTTATCAATTACAACCTCGAAATGCTTTACATCGTTTGAAGAAATGGGATGGTAATGATGATGATAGACAATTACTTCATTTAGCTGCATTTCTTCGAAGTTTGTTGATAGTTTTTCTATTATAAATATCTATCTATGTTTTCTAATAGTGATTGCTGCAAGTGGTGTTGAAGATGTACGTGATGTATTAGATCATTATAATCAGGAATCAGATCCAGTTGAAGCATTTTTAATTCGACAACAAAAATTACTTGTATGACTAGTGTCTATTTTCACTTGCAATAAATCTATTTTTTTTGTGCTTTAGGAAATCGAAGAACAAAAACGACAGGCTGTAGCAGCTTCAAATACACCTGTAAAACAATCCAAAGGATTATTTGGTAGTTGGTCAAGTTCAAAACGATTCTAATAAAATCGCCACACTTCTTTTTTTTCTTCTGTTCACTGAATGTTATCTCAAAAAGTTTTTTTTCTCTCTCTTTTGTTGCCTTTTTTTTTCTTTTCTAGATAAATATGAGTGTTTTAGAAATTCGTCATGAATTTGTCGATATTGAAACACGAGATAATCAACAATTATATCAAGCTTTTTGTAATCATATTTATTTGGGTCAATGGGAATTATGTCGAATATGTTTACAAATTTTATTTACTAAACGTTTAAAACTTAATACAAATTTAGAAGATTTATTAATTGATATTATTCGAAGTCCAACTGCTTATTGGTAATAAATATGAACAAAAAAAAGAATAAATGAATAGTTTTTATTATTTTAGTACGGGATCAAAATCAGTACCAACACCATTCCATTTTGCTTTATTGTTAGTGGAAGAATGCCGAGTGAACCAGTATTTGGATGCTGTAAGAAAATATTTCATTTGAAAAATGAAATGAAGAGAGTATTAGAAGGATCTTTTTTTTAGACAATAGTCGAAGAACTTAAACATTATTCAACTTTTAAATTCCTTTTGGCTGTAGGTGATATTCAACCGAGTGCACAAGTTGCTCAAGTAAGTGAAAATATTAGACATCATTTAATCGCTAATTATGAAATAGGAAATTATTTTTTGATATACTCACGAGAGGACTATTAGTCGCTTTTCAGTTCGAACACTAATGAGTACTGTATGCACTGAGGAATCAAATAATGATAAGTTCATAGCTTCGCAGGAAAGATTTATGAGCACTTGACCTTATGCATAGGGACGAATCATTTTGAATATTTCAGCATTCTTTATGATATTTATCTAGTTTTGGTAAAACTATCTGAATTTATTTTTAAGATAATCCTGATACTCAAGTAAGAAGTTCATAGATACAAAAAATCTTAAAACTAATTCATTTTGATTTATAATTCCTAACAATCTCGTAGATATAAGACATTACCTAATACTAAAAATATATCTTATTTGATAATTAATTCTATTCAATTAAGGAATTTGAACGACTTCATAAAAATACCGATGATATTCCTTCAACTCTTTTAACTGATTCAATGGCTGATTTTCTTGTTGATTTATGGTTACATGAAACTCCTCGTGTTCATGCATTTATTCGTTTATATTTATATTCGTCAATTCCATCTATACATACATGGTTAATACAAATTCATAAACGTGCACTTGAAATTTGTTTACAACAATTAAAAACATTAAATAATGAACAACAAAAAACAAATCTTGTTGATTTACTTCTTGCATTACATTTTTATTCATGTGATACAAATGAATTTCGTTTAACAATACGTGATACATTAAGAAAAATTGTTATTTATGCAACTGAAGGAAATGATAATTCAGGACAATTATTTAATTTAAAAACTTTATATCGTTCGATTTTAAATAATGGTTATTTAGCACGTTTAATAAGTGAATTAGAAAGTGATTATCGAAAAGAATTATTAAATAATGATACAGTTATAATACATTTTCTAAAGAAAAATTCATTTCGAAAAGAAAATTTTTTTTGGAAAGAAATTTATCTATATTTAATTGAAAATAAATTAGATTTAATATCATGTGTATTAGTAAGTTAAATAGAAATTAAGCTCATTGAAAACTAAAAACTAGATTTCGAATTTAGAATGATTCAATATTAATGATACAAAGTCGAGATTATTCATCATTAGATCAATTATTAAATATTGAACAATTTAAATCATTACATCTCTATATATTTCTTCTTGGATGGACACATGTAAGAACAGTTAATGATGCAATTGTATTATATGATTCAATTAATGCATTACCTGATAAATGTTCGATGTTAAGTAAATCTTTAGAATTATTTCAATCTCATATTGAATTTATAACATGGTTATATAATATTCGACGGTAAGTTAGAAAATATTTGTTTATTAATATATTATATTGATATATGTGTTTATTAGAATTGATCTGTAAGTTTTAGTTGCTTTGATTGTCTGAGCTTATTTTATGTTTGTTTGTCTTTTCTATTAAAATTTTGTTTTTATAGGTATCATGATGGTGTAACAAATTTACCAAATATGTCGAGTTTATTATCAAAATTACAGACAACTTCACCATTGTCATTAATTCATGAATATTTAGATATACAAACAATTGATTCAAAGGAAATTTTAGATAAATTACAAAAAACTTTAGTAGATATTGATGATGACAATGACAAATCAAATGAAAAAAAACGTAGGTTGAAGAATTGTTTTAATTAATAAATAGAAGGATCATTCATATTTAGTAAACAAATGAGTCAGAAGTCTTGACAATATATCATAAATTCTGATACAGAAAATCTAGAAGTCTACTTTACTACGTAGTTATCTTTCGTTTGAAAGTGATAGCTTTATATCTGAAGTCAAATCAAGACATAATAATATTGAATTTTTGAAATAAATATAGTTTAGATCTTAGACGTTTGTAGCTTGAAAGTTTGTGTACAATTGAGGACACTATTTGTTTTCAAGTAAAGGCCAATGATAAATTTTGGATGAAAACTGAATTATGATGCCACTAAATCCGATTATAGTTCAAAATAGGTGCTGTCTACTATAATTTCGTTGAGACTTAAGTCGTCAAAATAGAAGGGTGCACCTAATCTACATTCAACCTACCAACACCTATAATAGCTGAAATCGTCTAAAGTCGAGACTTTTGTCCACTACTATGCATATAATGAATTATTTATCATATCTACTTATAAAAGTTTTTCTATTAACAATTATTTTTAGGTGTTCGTTTTCTTGATGCACCATTTAATACAATTGAATCACATCGTTTATCTCAAACAACATCTTCAATGATTTTTCTTGGTTATCTATCTGTTAATACTGTTATTGAACGTATATTATCATCTGACAATCATAATCCAGAAACCGATATATTTTCTTTAACTCGAACATATTTAACACAAATATATCCATTACGTTTTCGTCTTGAACTATTAGAAAATCTATTTTCACTTGTATTTATTCAATCAAGTGATTTAAAAATTGATGATGCAGTTGAAATAATTGAACAACTACCACCAAGTACTCCATCACTTTCTTTAACAACATCAGATAAACTTTTTTCATCCATACAAAGTAATCTAACTAATGATAGTTTTCAAACATCAACAAATGCAAGTATTAAAACTCAATTATCAATAAGAAGATTTGATAATGAATTAGATGAAAATACGGATGATAATCTATCTGTATGTAGTAGTTCAATGAGTTCAGTTGGTGCATCACATCATCATCCAATAAATCGCTCCGGATTATTAATAAATCAATATGTACTTTATCATTTATTAATATTTTTACGTGATCAATTAGCAGAAGTTCGAGCACTTCATCAAAAAATAAAAGATAAAGCAACTGATCGTGATACAGTAGATTTTGAAACATTATTAGATAAATATTTTCATGGATGTTCAATTCAAACAAATGAACAATTTGCAAGTCGAGCAACAAAATTAAATACTATTGTTAGTGAAACATTATGGAGATATCAATTATTAACAGCAAATAAAAATGAATCATCAACAGAAGAAAATAAAAATGATGAACAAGAAAATGATAATAATTTAATTAATAATCCTATTATAAAAAATTTAATTCTTCCTATTCGTAAGTTAGAATAGTATTTTCGAAATATTATTAATTGTTTTATTTATTCTTAAGCTGTTCATCGACATGCTCATCGGCGAAAACGTCGAAAACGTCTTTCGGAAAGTAGTATATCAAGGTAAATTCAATTTATCTAATACCATATATATATATTCAACAAAACATTTTTATTTAGTGCTGCATCATCATCTTATAATGGTAGTAGTAATAATACAACGAGAACAAAATCAACATTAGTATCACAAATTCTTTCAACTCGTGATAATCTATTAGCTATTTGTTTAAAAGAAGGAAAAATTACTGAAGCTAATGAAGTTATACGAGTAAATCTACTAAACAAATTTTTTTTAGTTTTATATATAAAATTTCTTTTATATAGCTATTCAATATGCAAGATCATCCACTTGCTGTTGAAGCAAAATTTAGTAAATTATTTCATGATACAGTTATACAATTATCTACAACCGATTCATCTGTAACTACACCTATTGAAAATTTTACATCCAATTCACCATTAGCTGGTTTAGCTCATTTAACACAATCAGCACTTAATAATTCATCCGTACAACAAGGTATGAATCCTTTATTAGAAGCTGCTCAAACATCAAATGTTTCTTCAACATTACCAACATCAACATATTTCGATCATGAACATTTTCTTTCATTAACTTTATTTGATCTTGCAATAAATGCACCAACAATGACAATAAGTAAAACATTACTTGATATGGCTCAACATCGTTTACCAATTCCACGTCCATTATTTTCATCAAATACATCATCACATAATAATCAAAATAATCGAAATTCTCCGTCAAGAATTAAAAATTTAAGTGATATGATTAATAATTATAGTCAATTAGCTAATTCATCAAATGGATCATTTTATGATTTATTACTTGATGTTACAATACCATTAGATGCAATAAAAGCAACAAAAACTATTCAATATTATAAAAGACTTGATGAACATTGTCGACAATATTATATTAATGAACAAAATTCTTTACCAATTGAAGAACAAGTTAGAAATACTGGAGAATTTTTTGAAAATGATCCACAAGCTAAAGTAGATTTAATTGCATATATTAGGTAATTATAAGAATTTCAAAAACTGACGAGCTAAATTTTGTCGTAACATAAAAAAAGTTGACGTATAGGAAAATAATTTTTGAAGTTAAGATCGAATCTGACAGTATGAAATAAGATGCATCCTTTCATTCTTCAGTATACCAAAAGTAGCGATACAAGATACTAGCATGCAACGTGTCGAAAAGTGGAAACCATCGTATCCTTTTGATATTGAGAGATTACTGTGCGAGAAATAGAACAAAATCGATTTGACTGTTCTAAATAATTTGGTGAATTGGATGAAAGCATGATCACTTCCACTTTGAAAAACATCTGAAATACTGATGGGTAGGGAGCTGCGAGTCGACGCAGACGCGGGACCTGACAGAGCATGGGTGCGGATCCAAAAAAACCGTGGACCCGCAGCTCTCTACTGAGGGGAAAGACTTTTGCACTGTACTGTATTTCAAAAAGAAACAACATATTGCATTTTTTTATATCTATAGGAATTCACCCAATCAAACGAGATTATCATCTTCATCTTATATAAATTATTTTTCAATATTTCATACATATTTACAAAATTTTCGTACACTTCTTGAAAAATTTCCAGTACCAGATATTCCATCAGATGTTGATTTATCGAAATATTCTCCATTATCACTTATTCATCGTATTGTTGCACGATCAACTGATATTGATTTAGCACAATTACAATTAATGACATCAAAATTAAATATTGATATATCACTTGCTGTTAGTCTTAATATAATTCGTCCATTATTTGTTGATAAAACAATAGCAACATCATCGTTATCTTCAAATAGACGTACAACATTATTACAACAACAACCAATAAATATTTTTTCTAATCGTCAACAATTTATGCAACAAAAACAATCATCACATTCATTATCAAATGAAAGTACTAAGGCACATATGAGAAAATCAACAACATTTTTTAAACGTCTTGCAAGTAAACTTGGTGATTTTCAAAATGAACCTCAATCATTTAATGAACATCCTGAAAAATTTATAAGAACTTTACTAACCAAATTATTAGATTCAATTCGAAGTAAGTAATGAGATTTTATTCATCTGTATTTGAATCTTTTCTTATAGAATTAATTCAAGAATCAAATCATAGTCATATGATGATTGAACATATAGAAAAATTACTTGCCTTAGATGATTATGATAATATTCTTAATGCTCTACCATTATTAACATATCTTGATCTTGATCGTTTAATGACAAATGAAGAACGTATATGTTTTTTTACAAATTTATATAATTTTCTTATAATCATTTTTCATATTGAACTTATTCGAACAACAATAACAACAATACAAATAACAAAAACAACAACAAATATTTTTCGTAATGAACTTGAACGTCTTTTATTTCTTTTAACAACACGTATTGATATTGGACAACTTAAACAAATATCATTATATGATATAAAACATTATATATTAAAAGAAAATATTCTTACTGATGGACTTAAATTTGATATTGATCCAACTGCACCCTATTATCAATATGCACCAACAATTCAAAATAATCAACATATTAAAATAGGTTTAATATTAAATGGTTGTATGATTTCATCTACACCATTTATTGTTTTAACACCTGAATTACTTAATGATCAATTACAACGTTCTACAAGAGATTTTATTGATAAATGTGTTACAATGAAAACGAATGAAACAGATAATTCAATTGAAATTCTTGTACCATATATTCTTCATAAACAATTCGATCAAACAAACGATGATATGATTAAATTTATTGGAGAATATTCATCGAATAATAATATTCTATGTGCTATTACTGGTAAGATTAAATACTTTAGTAGAATAATTCAGAAGACAAACTATCCAAAATCTTAAGCAGAAATCATACTTATCATATTTACTTAAATATAAAGTACTAGCAGGAGTACCCGCTTCTGGTCGAGAAAATTTTATAGTACATATTTCGCAGATGAGAAAGCGGGCGTGGATGTGAGACTCACCGATTCACGTTTTCACTCCCATCCACCTATCTGAGCATAAAAGTTAGTAAGATGAATAAATCATTTTTTTCTCTTTCTTTTAGAACAACGTAAAATAACAACTGAAATAATTCCTTGTCAAACGGATTTTGCTTTGAGTTTCGAATATCGTTTATGTTCATCTTTGTCTGAAAGACATCAACGTCGTCGTCGTACAAGTTCACTTCCAACATCAACAACAATTACAACTTTATCTCCTTCAATTGATTTTCTTTCTCAAACAACAACATTACCTAATCATCTAATTGATTCTCGTACAATATCATTTGTTCAAGAAAAATCTCCTGCATTAGGACAAATTCTTCAAATATATGTTCAATCTGTTGTACATAATCAAGCAATTGAAGATGATAAAACTCCATTAAAAACATATTTTACAAGTTTATTATTATCACCCACATTAATACAATCAACAACATCAATAGGTGATGAATGGTTTCGTTCAATTGTATTAAATGATTTAACTTATCAACATGATCTTCTCCTTTATCTTTGTTCATTATTATGGAATGATTCAAAATATACTGAAATTGTTCAATTATTTGATTCATTATTACCATCATTTATTGTTCATTCATCATATTGTCAAATTCTACGTGATTTAGCTTTATTAAGTTTAATAAAACAAACATCAGAACCTGATCATGCATATCATTATTTACGTAAAATTCATGATTGTCATTTATTAATACATGCAACATTAACATATTTACCACGTTTCGATGGGCCAACATGTTTAAAATTACTTGAATTATGTTTAACATCTTGTAAAAAATATCATTCTGATTATATTGATTGGATACAAGAACGTTTAAATATAATGTATGTATATAAAACATTATGTCTTGGTGCATTATCACAATTTACAAAATGTATGGAAAATATATCTAAACTTGATACACAATTAAATCTATCAATTGAAGATATGGCTATAAAAAAAACCTCATCGAAATGTTTAACATGGCAACGTGCTGAAGAACATTCACAACGTGATCCATTAGCTGTTGTTGATATGTTTATCTTTGAAAAACAATTTGATATGGGACATAAATGGTTAACATTATTAAATAAACATGTTGATGAAGATATTATTAATCGTGTAAGATTTAAATTAGTTGAAGAACATATACATTGGTTATTAAATGAAGAAAATATTGGTAATGGAAATAAATTTTTACAAATTATTGATACAATAACAAATATCAATGATAAATGGCATTTATGTACAGATTTAATTAATGATTTATCAAGACAAAGATTAGTAACAAGTACAAAATCAATACCATTTTCAAGATTATTTATTAAATTTCGTCTTATACAATATATGTTAGCACATTTTGAAGAAAATTCCGCATTTTTTCAAGGACAATATGATCGATCAAAATTATGTGTATTAGTTACTGGTTTAGCTATATTTTTTAATTGTATACCATTAGAACAAACAGATTCCTATGAACAATTAGTTGGACAACCATTACTTATTCTTGAACAATTACTAATGAATAGTTCAATTGATATAGCTAAAATAACAATTGAAACATTAAAAGTTTTAATTGAAAAATATTCATTAGAAAATATTATTAATATAAAACAAGTTGATCAATTAATTGAAATTTATACAAAGAAAAGTGTACGATTAAATGTTGTTCAACCACATGAAGAAACGCCAATAACAGTTGAAAATAAGTAAATAATTCATCATATATTTATTAGCATGAGAAATTTATATTAAATATTCTTTAGACCTGTTCTTCAACCTCCACCTATTTCATTGATTGAACGTCGTCGTAGCTCATTAAATCCAGCTACGTATATTACTAAACGTAAAGGTTCTCAAGATTTATCTCCATTAGGTCGTCGAACTAATACTAGTGGTACAAATAATTTCTTCAATTCAATACGTCATCGTATGTCACCCAGAACTCCAATAACATCTCCAAATGTACCAGAGTCTGATTTACAAACATCATCACCATCAACAATAGCATCATCACCTAATACTAATAGTCCACCAATGTCACATTCAATTCCAATAAAATCCCAACAACCTCAACAACAACAACAACAACAAACATCTTCGTCTTTTTTTGATCATTTTTCATCATCATTTACAAACAAATCTAATATAAATGAACAATCTCATCAAGGACATAAAACAACTGAATATACTGTTCCATTAGTAGTTCCACCAAAAAAATCATGGGTATCAGATGATGAAGTAGCTGTATGTATGTGTTGTAATGAAACACATTTTTCAATGTTTAATCGTCGTCATCATTGTCGTCGTTGTGGTCGTGTTGTATGTAAACCATGTTCACAACATATGACAATAATTAAAGGACGTTCGGAACGTACATGTAAAGATTGTTATCAATATATGCAAAATAATCCAGCACCACCTACAACTTCTCGACCAGAAACAAATACTCCAGTAAAAAAATTTGAAAATCTCCGATCGTAAGTATTCATCATCATAGTAGTAGTGTATATTGTCGATTGAATTGAGTTTTAATCTATTATAATCACAAGATAAATAATGAAAACTATTTTATTCTAGTCTTGCTAGACCAATCCATTCATTTAAAAGACTATCAATTAGTCAAGTTTATCTAAAGAATAATCGATCATACACAATAACATCAAATAATCATTTATTAGGTACATCACTCGTTAATGAAACTCCAAGTATTTTAGTAGAAGATACTTTATTATTAAGTTCAAGTTTTTCAACAGGAAGTCCTCTATCAAAAAATAATAAACTTCATTATCGTTCATCAATGGATACACCACAAACACAAGATAATATTACTGATGCACCTGCAATACCTATTATTACCGATCAAGTACAATATCAATTAACAGGAACATCGAGTGATGATAGTTTACGTAATGATTTTCATTATGATCAATCTCCTAGTATATCATTATGTTTATCATTAATTGAATTACATTCAAATCAATATGAATGTGGAAAATTATTAATAAAATTATGTGAATATTTATCTGAACAATTATCAACAAAACAACGTAATACTGAAATTGATTATGGTTTAGTATTAAATATAATAAAAAATCTTTTATTTACTGCTAAAATGAAATTAACAACAAGTTATTTTACTGATGAAGAATCAGGTGAACAACAAAAATTATTAAGATCTTGTGAAATATATAATAATCTTATTGATATATTAAATCGTTTAAATATGGCTAATTGTTCATTACCAGCTTTAAATGATCTTTTACAACAAGATACATTAAGAAAAATTCGAAATCAATTATTAGAAGATGAACGATATCAATTAGCAATGGATATTTCAACAAAATGTAATTTAGATACACAAACAATTTGGTTTCAATGGGGAATGGGTAAATAGAATAAGTTTTTATTTCTTCATACTATTAATTCTATTTAGCTTATCTTCATATTGGTCAATATGGTGAAGCACGTGATAAATTTGACAAATGCTTACAGAAAACTTCGGATACAACTGATAAAACATTGAAACAACTACAACGTGGTGGTGTAAGTCAAGAAAAAATAGTCAATGATATAATCGCATTTCTTGAATCATCTCGTCCATTGAAATATTCCATGAGAAATCAATATTTATCTGAACAACAAATTCGACAAAGTGGACAAACACGTGCTAGTTTAAAATATCTCAATAGTCTTTCAACAATACCACGTTTACCCGATAAAACAAATAAAGGTTAATTTCTTTTTCGTCTATTCTATCAAAATAAAAAAAAACTTTTCTGTTTATTTCTAGCAATAGAGAATGAAATTCTATTTTATTTAACAATGTATAGTGATGATGCACATTTATTAGATTATTATATTCGTCATGAATATTATACACAAGCATTTGAATATAAATGTTCATTAGTATTATTTCGTGATCATATTTATCTTCCTTTATTAAAACGTAATCATATAAAACATCTATTTAATTATATATTATCACATAATCTTAGTTTATTTACACATCATTTAAAATTTATTTGTACATATTTAAAAGAACAAGAAATGAATCATTCATTATTACAATTACAATTATTTCTTAATGATTATCTTAATGCTGGTTTTACATCTGTGAAATTATTTACGATAAATCGAACAACATATTTAGATTTATTTGAAAAACGTTCAAATTATTTACAAAAAGGTTTAGAATATTTTCTACAAGCAAAAGCTGATACAGAACAAACAATGATGAAAATTCATAGGTATAGAGAATTTCTTAAGGGTGCGATTTGTTCTCAAACCTTTTATTTTAGTACTAAAAGTAAAATTGAACTTCAACTTGAAATAACTCGTTATATTTATGGACAATTAAAACGATTGAATACCAATGGTTCAAATATATTAATCAATTGTCCGACATTATTTGATGGAAAAGATTCAATAATTAAACTTATTCTAGGTTTAATAACAATATCTGATACAATGACAACTGCATTTAGTTTAATTAATAAAATAATCAATGTAAAATTGTTCTTTTTTTGCACCGTTTTTTTTATTTGAATTTAATTTTTAGGAATTGAATCTTTCAATAAATGAAGTTTTTCTTCCATGTGCGGAAGAAATTGGTAAACGTCGTGATTATCGTATGCTTCAACAATTACTTCAAGTAATGCGTGATAATGGTTATAATGATAATAAACTACATGATGATATTATTGAAAGTTGTGTACGACAAACTGGTTCGGATGTTGAACAAGTAAAATATAAGAAAGAATTCGATTTATTTTCAATAAGTTTTTTTTCTTTTGAATTTTTAGAGTCGAGAACAAGACACATTAATACAAATGATTAAAAATGATAATACTCGTATAAATGTTTATATTTCTGTTGGTAAATTACGTGCAGCTTATTTAATAGCTATTCGTCTAGGTAAAGAAGATAAAATTCGTTTAATTCGTGATGATGCACAAAGAAGTGGTCAAACAGCTGTTTATGAAATGTGTAAAAAATGGTTAGAAAATCGAGCAAGTGAACAGTGAAATATATAAATATCTATAATCTAGTCTTTCGATAATGAAACTGCAGTGAATTTTTTTTATGCGTTATTTCCGCCTGTGATTGTAATATTTCTGTAGGTGATTTTTTTCTTTTTCCTCTTCTTCTTTAATAATATCGTCTTTCTTGTTTCTAAAGAAATAAAACGTAAGATATAATTTTTTTTAATTTATGTAATTCATCCAGATTTTAGCATTTTTTTCAGATATGTTGGCTGATTTTTTAGAAAAAAATGATATTAAAACATATAATCGTAAGTTTTAGTTAACTAATTGTAATACATTGAGGGTGAGGTTAAGTGTGCGCGACTACACCATTCGAATACAATCTTCGAGAGAGTCGCGGCTTGTGTGAAATTATAGAGTAGACTTTTGCGTATCGAATGCATTGGTTGAAACGAGAAATTCTTTACATCTTCGGCAAGCTAGTTTTTCAAAGAATTGAGTAAAATCTTTCTAATGATGAGATGGAATTTCTACAAAATATTTGTTTGTCATGTTGTTTATGAATTAATCTGAAAATGTTTAGAATCAATAACATCTGATCAAATAAATACATTAAAAACGAGTTTAAAACAAGAAATTGATGATAAACAAAATCAGATACATCAATTCTATACAAATAAAATTCAAGATATAAATAAAATCGATGGTCAAACGAAAAAGCTTATTGGGCAATGTGAAGAGCTAGAATCCGAACGAAAAGAATTACTTGGAAAAATTGAAGAGCATTCTAAATTAGAAAATCATGCACGTCATGTGAATTCAAATTATCATCAATTTCATCATTTAAATCAGTTTATTGATGGTACTAAACAATTAATACAATTACAAACTCAAATTCAAGGTATAGATTTTCAAAAAAAAACATGAATTCTTTTTTATTCTTTCATTTATTTTAAGAATGTCGACAATTATGTAAAAAAGGTCATTTAAACGAAGCAAAAAATTCTTATAAATCTATAGAAAATATACTCAATAATCATTATATATTTCCTAATACAAATGAAAAATTTTATCAACAACATTATCCATTATATGAAACATTTCAAAAATCTATTGGACGATTACGTTCAGATATTTGTCAAACACATCATATTCTATGGAATGATGGAGTTAATAAAACAACTCAAAATGAATTACAATTAAATTTAAATTATCTTGATCAACTTTTTAAATGTATTTTCTATGAAGATAGAGGAGAAAAATTATTAATGGAAAAAAATATTCAAACATTTGCAACTTACTGTTTTCAAGGATTTATTCAAATATTTATTGAAAAAAAATTGAAATTAGTTATTGATATAGAAACACCAGTGATTTTATTACAAATGGAAAATGATGATGATATTGAAAATAATAATAATATTGAACAATTCAATATAACATTAAATTATTTAAAGGAATTTTTTGAAATATTAAATACGTATTTATTATCAAGAACAATGAATATTCAAACAACGAAAGAGAAGTAAGAAATCTTTGCAATTTTTCTGACTTACGAGGGGATCAATTGACATCTGGGTGTGGGTGTCACTTTATTCAGATCTATTCACATCCACACCCACACCCACACCCACACCCACACCCACACCCACACCCACA